GGGCCCCCCCCCCCAAAAAAAAAACAACCTGGAGCTGAGGATAGTGGAAGAGGCCAATCCTGCTAAGCTGTCTCCCTGTGTTGCTGGGTCCATCTCTCTTCATCTTCCATCTTCTTGTTTGTTTTGTTTTTCTTTTCTGAAACTTGTGACAGACCACCCCCCTCAGTCCCCAGGGTGCTGGGATGACAAGCACACACCATCACACACACTCAGCTGTTGTCTCCTTTCCTGACATTCCTGCACCTCACCTCCTCCCATCCACAACCGTCATGTCTAACCCCCATTTCTCTGGCCTACACTGGACTTCAGGTCTCAGTCAGGCTGACAGGGAGAAGATTTTTAATGGCGTTGAGTGTGTGAAGAACTCACAGCCTTGGCAGGTGGGGCTGTTCCGTGGCAAATACCTGCGCTGTGGCGGTGTCCTTGTGGACCGCCAGTGGATCCTTACAGCTGCTCACTGCAGTGGCAAGTAAGCCCCTCCCGCCCTGGGGCCCTCCTTGGAGTGAGAAGAGGAGGGTGCCAGCTGCAGATGTAGGTCTCCCCCTGATGGTGTCTGGTGTCAAGGGGTAGGAGGCAGCCAACTTCAGGTCAGAGGTGGAGAAGAACTTCCTGAGGCGGGGCTGGGTGCTGCAAGGTGGGATGAGGTGTGTGCAGTGGGTGGAGGACCTGGGATGGCGCCTCTGTTGGTCTCACATTTCCTCATGTGCCATTTCCTTTCCTATACAGCATTTATCACCAGCCCCAGGTGTTCCCTGACCCCAGCTAGACTCAGGGTGTCTAGGACACCACTAACCAGGACACCCACTGAGCCACCTCCTTAGACCCCAGATGACCCACTTTCTAGGTCTAGACTTTGCTATGAAAGGGGAGCCAGGTATCAAGGGACCAAGAGGCTCCATGAAGGACAGAGGTGTACTCCTTATCCATTGCTCAGTCAACAGCCCTGGTAGCATTGCTGGTGGGGGCTATGGGGATAAAATGGCAGCTAGTATAGCAGAAGACATCCCCGCCCCATGACACCAGCTATCAAAGAGCAGTAGAGAGAAGCCATGGAAGACTAACCCAACATGTATAGATGATGGGGAAGAGACCCAGAGGCTGAGAGAGAGATACAGACAGAGGTAAGGGGCAGCCCATCTGCCACGAATTGACCAACTGCACCCTCAGGTATGTAGTACGCCTTGGTGAGCACAGCCTCACCAAGCTGGACTGGACAGAACAGTTGAGGCTCACCACCTTCTCCATGACACACCCCAGCTACCAGGGTGCCCATCAGAACCATGAGCACGATCTCCGACTCCTACGGCTGAGCAGACCCGTTCACCTGACCCATGCTGTCCGGCCTCTGGCCCTGCCCGCTTTCTGTGCACCTATGGGGACCAAGTGTCATATTTCAGGATGGGGCATCACAAACAAGCCGTGGGGTAAGAGGGTCCTGAGGTTGGGAGTGAGGGATGTAGGGCAAGAGGTCAAGTTGTTTGATTCAGAAGGAGCATGGTTATGGGGTTAAACATCGGGGTCAGGGTCATGGTAGGTGGGAGTCTTCCGAACCACAGAGGTTAAGGGATTGAATATAGATCAGAGGGGTTAGAACTGTGATCAGGTCATCAGGGCATCTGATTCATAGACTCGGGTGTTAGAGGTCATTACAGAGCTGGTATCTGCTGGGCTCTAATCCCAAGTACTGTGGAGGCTTCAATAAGAGGGTAAAGAGTCAAGGCCATCCTCCACTACAGAGTAAGAGCCTGTCTCAAAATAAAAAGCACAAATGTCTGTAGATGTGGCTCAGTGATGGAGTTCCTAGGTCCTAGGTTCTGTCTCTACTGGGGTGGAGGAGGCGGGGGAGGGGACGAAGCTGAGGGCACTGAATCACAGTCTGGTCAGAATCTTTCTCATGACACATTTGGAAGTCATAAGGTTTGGGCCAGGGTTTCTGTGGCATGGAGTCTGAGGTCAAATGACCCCAATGGGAAGACTTGTTTTTTGAGTTGAGATGAAGTGAAACTTTGGAAGATGTGGAATTGGGGTCTGAGGTTAAAGTGAAACGGAGGACATGGGTCCAGGAGATGGAAGACATGAAGTGAGGCTGAGATCAAGAGGTAATGAGGTCAAAGTTCAAAGGACCAGGCCTATGACCTGGGGACAAGAGTCACTATGGAACTGAGTCATGAAACTGAGAGAGTTTAGGATGGCAGTGAGGTTTCGAGGAGGGGTATAAATTTGGATCAAATGTCCTTGTGAAGAGTAATCTCAAAGTAGCAATCTCAGAGGGTCGACATCACCTACACCACCCATCTCCCATCCCCAGACCCATTTCCAGACCGGCTCCAATGCCTCGACCTCTCCATCGTCTCCAATAACACATGCCAAGCCGTGTTTCCTGGAAGAGTGACAGAGAACATGGTGTGTGCTGGTGGTGAAGCCGGAAAAGATGCCTGCCAGGTGAATCAACTCAGGGTGGTGACGACCACGGGGGACAGAAAGAAGGCAATGGAGAAAGAAAGGAAGATGAAAGCTTTAGGTGGTTGGGAGGGCTCAAGAGGGACACTGAGGTAGACTGAGGTAGACTGGGTGCAGAGTAAGGAGTTCATTAATAGAGTTCCTAATGCCATGAACAGACAGAGGCAACAACATGGCGGGGCTCTGAGGAGTGTTCGGACCCCAGCACTAGAGACAGAGAGCATGATGGAACCCTGAAGAAGAATCATAGCCCACATGGCAAAAGAAGAGTTTCTTTTTATACTTTTCTGAGAGTGGAGAATATTTCACAGCAAGCACCTGCAACCAGGCTCTCTGGTTCTTAGGCAGGAGGCAGGCAAGGGGAGGACAGCAGCATGAACGGCCACCAATACTAACTTAGACATAAACTCACTCCCCAGGTGAGGGATCCTGGCACCTGGAACTCTGTTAGCTAGGGGCTGGAAGACAGTATCCTTGTAGAATGCCTGTTGGTGTCTGCGAGGGGAAGAGGAGGCTTGCTGCCTCGAGCTGCATCTAGGTTCTGATCTCACACTACAGAAGTGAGGAAAAGACCCAAACCAGGGAGGTGGAGGTGAAAGAATTGGGAGTGATGGGTCTAGAGAAGAGGGAACCTCAGCCTAAGGGAGGAAGAGATGGGGATGGGAGAGAGGAGCCCAGAATGTTGGATCAGGAGAGGGAGGAAAGGAGGGACCGGAGGCTGAGAAGTGGGAGGGGAAAAGATGCAAGCCATGGAGGGCAGAGAACTAGCCAGGATGGGATACGTCAGGGCCCCTTCGGGGGCACTCCAGGGCTTCCCCACACCACCAACCAGCTGGGGCTACCCCACGTTGAGAGAGAGGGATTGGGTAAATCAGCTGACTGTGTCAACGTGTGATTCTGTGTCCTTAGTGTCTTGGGCTACTTAGAGGAGGCCACTCTATCACAGCGCCCAGAGACCAACCAATCCCCTCAGCACGCTCTGTACTCTCATAGCCCAGGCCTCTTCTCCGGGGTTTGGGCACGGAGGATGGCATTCTCTTCACTCATTGGCCAGAATCAGTCAGGTGGCATCTTCCTTCCTATTGGCCAGTTGTTACGATGCTCTTCCAGTGAGCTAGCCCTGCCCTCTTCTCCCAGGACGTGTCTTGGAGCCACTAGGTTAAGTAGCTGTCTCTTTTCTGTCTTCTAGGGTGACTCTGGAGGCCCCCTGGTGTGTGGAGGGGTTCTTCAAGGTCTGGTTTCCTGGGGATCTGTTGGGCCTTGCGGACAAAAGGGCATTCCAGGGGTCTATACCAAGATCTGCAAATATGTGCCCTGGATCAGAACAGTCATCAGGAACAACTAACCCGGATTCCCCTGACTCCACGTGATTCTGCGTAGGGGCCTCTCTGACCCTCAGAGCACGTCTCCTCCCTCACCACTCCAAGATCCCACCCTTATTGGTGTAGAGAATTTTTACAAAGCTCGATGGTGGAGAGAGGGCTGGGAAACCCTGGAATAAACATTATACAATCAAGGGAAGGGGCTGTGCCTGTCTGTTTAACGTACAGTTTAACCCGGAGGAAACCGGAAAGGGTGGGAGTTTTGGCTGGGCTTGGTTGCATAGGCCTGTGATCTTGGCACTCAGGAGAAAGAGGTGGGGAGGATTAGGAGCTCAAGGTCATCTTGGAATACACAGTGAGTTTGAGGTCATTCTGGGCTTCATGAGACCCTGTCTCAAAAACCAACAGGCCAGGTGTGGTGATGGAGTGCCTGCCCTTGGCAAGCTGATCTCTGAGTTTGAGGTCAGACTGGTCTACAGACTGAGCTCTAGGCTAGCCAGAGCTACATAGTGAGAATCTGTTTCAAAATCAAAGATTTTGGTCTTAGCTTTAAGATTATTATTATCTTTATCTTATGATTATGGGTGTTTTCCTGCATGTATGTCTGTGCACCACATATGTGCCTGGTGCCCACTGAAGTCAGAAGAAGACATTGGATTCCCCTGGGACTGAAGTTACACACAGTTGAGAGCCACTGTGTGAGTACTGGAAACTGAGCCAAGATCCTCTAGGAAGAGCAGCCAGGACTCTAACCCACTGCACCCTTTCTCCAGCCCCGCTTCTGGCTTCCTAATGAACTGGATATAAATGACTGGGGTGGGGGTTTTGTGTTACACCTGACTGCCCCACAGCCTTCATATGTTCCTTCTGGGGTGGGATGCCAGTCTGATTTACTCTGTCAGAGATGTTCCATGGTGCACAAGGCTATGCACCCCAGAGGTCCTTTCTCCCCATTCTCTTCTGAAGACAGAAAAGGTTTTACTCAAAAATGCCTAAGGGGGACCTGGTGTGCTTACCAAAGGCACAAGGATGGCTTTCCCAGCATCCTCCTGGCATTTCATCCCCCACTCCACCCCAAGGCAGGGCCAGCACCCCCATGTCACAGATTAGGGAACTGAACTTCCCTAGGGTGGAGTTGCTCCTCTCACGTCACCTGGGTAGGAAGAGGCAGAGCCCGTAGGGTTTGAGGCCACGGTTGGCTGCCGGCAGAGCCTGGGCCTACTCCGCCTTGTCCCACATCTGGTAGGGGAGAGAGGAGAGGAAGGCCTGGGGAAGAAAGATCTGAATGAAAACATAAACTGGGAGAAGCGAGGCTTCGAACCTGGGGCTATCCAATGAGGAGGCCCGGGAGGCTGAAGAGTGACTGGAAATTATCTACAGTACCCAGTAAGTGCTGGAAGCCTGGGCAGTGGAGGCTTGGGAGAGGAGGGAAGGGTCAGCAGAGAATAGAGACCCACACAGAGCCCTGGGGCCCCTGGCTGAGGTTTCTTTCTCCTTTCTTGAGCCATGGCTGCCACAGGCCCTGACCTGCCTCCCCCACCGTCCTGTCCTGCCCCTTCACCTAGCAAGCAGCCCCACCTCTGTGACGCCCCAGATTCCCCCCTTCTCTCTTTGGAAAGGAGAAGGGAGGGCCCAAAGGCAGCCAAGGGCCCCACTGAGCCCAGGCAGTGAGGAAGGAGAGGCCCACAGGAGGAGGGAGAGATGGAGGCCTTAGAGATGTAACAGAGACAGGCAGAGGGAGGCCCAGAGGGATGGTACAGGACAAAGAGCTGAGACAAGAGGAGACAAAGATCCAAAGACATGCAGGGGCGGAAACCTAGTGGCAGAGAGACCAAAATCACACACAAATTCGATAGGATGGGAGAGAGGGAGGTGGGGAGGACTGGGACACAGAAACCTGCTGGAGAGGCAAGAAGACATGGCCACAGAGGAGAGGGGGGCTTGGAGAAGTGATGTCCTGTCTCCCAGACCCCAAGGCTGCCTTGGAAGGCCCCCACACACCCCTCTGCCAGGGTGATAAGGCAGGGCAAGGAGCCTAGTCATTCCAGGCCTGCCCGGGGCCAACCCCCTGCCTGCCTGCCAGCCTGCCAGCCTGCCTGCTTGTCTGCCTGGTGCTCAGACCCAGCCTGCTGCAGCTGCCACTGCTTGGCCCTTCAGAGCCCCAGCCCCAGAGCCCATGAGTGAATCCAGGAGGGAAGGGAAGGTTCTGCCAACCCCCACCCATTCCAGACTGTCATCCCAGAAGCTAGGCGTCTTCTGTCCCAGCATGTATTTCCCCCTCCCATGTGTCCTTGGAAGATGTGAAGGGACTTGAGACCACACTCTGCATCTCTGTATCTCTCCCCTTCAAACTCCTGCCCCCAAACTCCATGACCTCTGTTCCTAGTTTAGGTGGCTAAGTCCTGCCCTCTCTCCCACCCCCGCCAGCCAGGGCAGCTGTAGTCACTGGCTGTCCCTTAGCCAACTCCACCCCGCCCTGTCCAGCTGTCCTTCACAGAGCTTTAGCAAGGTGGAGGGACTTCACTGGTTGCAGAAAGACCTCACCAGCTCCTATCACTGCTGTTGGGACAACAAAAATGAGGTCCTTACCCAGTAGGTGACCCTATCCCCTTGTCCTGCCATCACTAGGAATTGTGGGGCAAGCCAGGTTCTCAGGTGAGTGAGAAGAAAAATATCCTCTGAGATTCCCCCAGGGGGCTTCCTCCTCCACCGGCAACTTAAACCAAGTGAGCCCAAGAGCCTTGCCCAACAAAGCCCCTCCCTGAAGCTTTGTTGTTCTCTTCTACACCCAGAAAGCTGCTAGCCAGGATCCAAGCCTCTGTCCAAGGTCGCTCCAGAAACATAAGATTCTCCTTCTAGGCTTGGGGTTTGTTGTTAGAATCAAGAGGTTCCCTTGGGAGAAGGAGACAGGTGATCAGAGAAGTAGAGCTGCTCCAGGTGAAGGAGAGAGGAGAAACCACAGGCCGGCTCCAATCTCCTCTTAAATTGATTAGGCCTTCCTCCTTGTCCCCAGGGGAACCTGGAGCCCGTCCTGCTCTACTCCAGGCCATGGTGATTCTACGATTCATCACACTTGCTCTGGTGACAGGTACCGTGGGGCTTAGAAGGAAATGTAGGGCCTCCCTCTCTTATTTCTACGTTCCTTCCCCTACAACCCAGGTGGAGATCACAGTGATATGGTCTGAGCTATACCAGGCATGGTCAAATGGGTCTTAGAGGAGGAGGAGGGGAGCGGGGTCACTTCAAAAGCTGAGGACAGCCTCTAATGACCTGGAAGTACAGACTTATGCCAGCTAAGAATGAGAACATTTTGTTCCTCCCCATCCTCATTTCAGGGGTCCCTCTACAAGCCTACTCCCTCTTATGCTTACATCTTTTGCCTCCTTCAGGGCTTGTAGGGGGAGAGACAAGGATCATCAAGGGTTACGAGTGCACCCCTCATTCCCAGCCATGGCAGGTGGCCCTCTTTCAGAAGACACGGCTTCTCTGTGGGGCAACCCTCATCAACCCCAAATGGCTCCTGACAGCAGCCCACTGCCGCAAGCCGTGGGTGCGGGGGCTGGGGCGGGGCTGGGAGGGGCTGGAGATGGAGAGATGGATGGAGAGAGGGGCTAGGACTAGAGAGAACTTGGGAGGATGGCAGCAGCAGGTGGAGGGATTGAGGGTGGTGTGGCATTAGCATGGATGATGAGAATGTGACCAAGGCTGGAAAGGCACTGTTAGTGTATATGATGGAGATCTAGTTGGGACTGAAGATGGAGGCATGGGGTGGTGTTAGTTTGTACAAGGAAGATCTAGTTGGGTTGATGATAGAGGGATGAGGTGGCCTTAGTGTGGGTGATGCTAGCCTAGTCGGGATGGGGATGAAGGGGTGAGTGATGCTGGAAGTAGGATGGGGCTGGTGTTTACAAGGTACCATTCATCATCTCTCCTTCCCCACCCCTGCCCTGTCCCCCTACCTTTCCACCTCTGACCACATCTCTCCCACCTCAGCCGTTACGTGATCCTTCTTGGGGAGCACAATCTGGAGAAGACAGATGGCTATGAGCAGAAGCGGATGGCCACTGAGTCCTTCCCCCACCCCGGCTTTAACAACAGCCTCCCCAACAAAGACCACCGGAATGACATCATGCTGGTGAAGATGTCATCTCCCGCCATCCTTACCCGAGCTGTGCAGCCACTCACCCTGTCCTCCCACTGCGTCACTGCGGGCACCAGCTGCCTCATTTCCGGATGGGGCACCACGTCCAGCCCCCAGTGTAGGGGCTCCCTGGGGACATGTGATCAGGGTGGAAGATGGGATGTGGGGAATGGAGGCCAGACGAATATCCAGAGATAAAGATCAGAGTCACTCCAGAACCATGGTTACCTTAGGCTGTCACAAGTGGAATGAGCTGAAAGGGAGATGGGAAATTCTGGGAGACTCACGCTGGGGCCCAAGAGTGAGCCGGGTGTGATTCCCAAATCTGTAGCTTTCTAGTTGTGGGATCTAAGGCAGATGGCTTTACTTCCCCTCAAGAGGAGTCGGAAATAATGCATAGGGAGCAATCAGTATGAAGAATTTACTCATAACATTGCTGTTGCTATAGTAATGAGCATAGAGATGGGTGAGGGTAAGGATTGTCCCAGGTATTGCCTACTGTAGTGGGGTTGGAGAATCAGGTGCTCACCGCTCACACCCTCCGCTGCTGTCCCCACAGTGCGCCTGCCTCATTCCTTGCGATGTGCCAATGTCTCCATCATTGAACACAAGGAGTGTGAGAATGCCTACCCAGGCAACATCACAGAAACCATGCTGTGTGCCAGTGTTCGGAAAGAGGGCAAAGACTCCTGCCAGGTCAGCAGGCAGGGGCTGGGTCTCCAGCCACATACCCACTCCCAACCTCAATCCCATCTTTACTGACATCCCCAACCCCAACCCCAACCATCTCCAACCCCAACATCAACATAATCCCTGTCTTCCCATGTTTACCCTCATTTACAACTCCAGCCACCCATCAAGTTCTTCTGGATCCTAACCCCATAGACATTCTCACCCAGAATCCCAGCTTCATTTCCCAACCTCTCACCAGTCCTGTTGTCAAATTCTTCCTTTGCCTGCTTCCTACCCCCACCACTGTCCTCACTCTCATCACAAGCCTCTAACTTGACTCTAACTGATGTGTCTCCTCTCATGCCAGGGTGACTCTGGAGGCCCTCTCGTCTGTAATGGGTCTCTTCAAGGCATCATCTCCTGGGGTCAGGACCCATGTGCAGTCACCAGAAAGCCTGGTGTCTATACAAAAGTCTGCAAATATACTGACTGGATCTACGAGATTATGAAAAACAACTAGAAGAGACCTGCTTGTCACCACCCAACCCCTCCAACCTCTTCTTAACACTTTGACTTCTGTTCATTCTTTCTTAAGAACCCCTCCGCTGGGACCCTTGCATGCACTCTCTGTGACCCACCATGGATATAGTATAGGAAATGCTTTGACCTGGATCAACTTGGGGCTTGGAACAAATCCTGGCTTGACCTAAGTTGTGACTCCGGACATCACTGGCTTTGTTTGTTTGTTTGGTTTTTGTTGTTTTGTCCCCAGCCCTGAAGACAGTCCCTGGCATATTCCAGGGTTTCAATAAATATTTGTTAAATGATAAAATGGTTCTATTCAGTGTCAACCATATAGAAATCCTGATACAGATACAGAGAGCTTTTAAATGATTTATGTGTATTGAGTCTTCGTCTGCATGTATGTATGTGTATCACATGCCTGCTTGGTGCCTGAGGAGTCCAGAAGGGGACATCAGGTCCCCTGGCCACCATATGGGTGCTGGGAACCAAACCCAAGTCCTCAGCAAGAGCAGCAATTCCCCTGAACTGCTGAGCCATCTCTTCAGTGTCCCAGAACTTTTAAATGTTACTAACCAAACGAATGCTCACAACCTCCCTAAGAGATGGGTCCTATTCTTCTGTCCACTTTCCAGACAGATGAAGGCGTTTGCTCACAGCCATACAGCTGAGAAGTGAAAGACTGACAGACTTCCAAGCCCAAGGACAGTGTTAGCTATCAAATCAATGTCACGTTACAGCTCAGTTCATTTTCTTTTTACATTTTACTCATTCATTTCCAGGGCGGGGGTGCTCATGCCATGGTACACATGTGGAAGTGTGCAAACTGCAGGAGTCAGTTCGCTCCTTCCACCATGTAGCGTCCAAGGATCAAACATAGGTTGTCAGCCTTTGCCACAAGCACCCTTCTCCACCAAGCAGGCCCCGCAGAAAGAACTCAGTTCGCTCCTTCCAGGCACTCAGTTCTTCTGATGGAAAATTGCACATCTGAAAGTGTGAAAACAGTGAGTGCATATGCATGTGTGGAGCAAGAGGCAGTAAAGAAGGCTTACTATCATTTTCAAACTGCCCAAATTCAGTTCCCAGAGGCCAGTATGGATTAGTATCTTCTGCTAGTTAAAATAAAGTCAAAGCAGGAAGGAAATTCCTGCCACCTTGACATGTTCGGATGCTCTATAGCTGCATGTGGCTGGTGGCTGCTGCAACATAACCAGTGTAGCAAAAGATCTGGACAGGGCTGAGCCTGGCAAAAGATGCCCCAGATAACACAGACATTCTGTTCTGCTCTTGGAGAGAGATCTCTGGCACAGGGGAGAACTCAGAGCTGCAACTAGATAGAACCTTCCGGTTGTTAGGCGGACTTGCTTGCTGTGTGACCTCTTATGAGTCACAACCCTCTCTGAGCCTCCCATTCCTCACCCAAAATGAGGGTGTTAGCCGAGGTGATGTGGCCTGTCCCTTGCAACCTGGGCCTCCTATGATTCACCAACTGTGTGTCACCTGGAGACATGCAGGGAGGTGCAAGATGTTCACACACAGGTTTAGTGCAAAGCTACAGACTCCCCCACCCCACCCGCGAAGCGCATGGGGAGACACAAGGAGCCTACGGTTTCTTGGTTTACGCCTCTGGGAGTTTATGCCCTTCCCGCGCCTTCCTCCCACCACCTGAACCCTCCCACCTCCTTCCGCATTCCACCTGCCAGCACCTACCTCTCCGTCTTCATCTCCCCTTGTCACACATCATCCCATCACCCCAGGCTCCCAGAAGACTTGACCCCCTCTCCTTCCCGCGCCTTCCTCCCACCACCTGAACTCTTCACCATCCTTCCCCATTCCACCTGCCAGCACCTACGTCTCTCCGTCTTCATCTCCCCGTGTCACACATCATCCCATCACCCCAGGCTCCCAGAAGACTTGACCCCCTCCCCATCCTCCCACCACACCTGGGAACACTTCTCAGAACAGGGCATGGGGGAACCCCCAAGAAAGCCAGCTCCAAAAAGTGTTCCTGTCATCGGCAGAAGCCTGTATTCCAGGGCCCCTCCCGGAGCAGGAATCTGGGGCCCTGGTTGAGTGCCAGCCCCACCCACGTTATAATTAGGGAGAGGGAAAGAGAGGGAGTGAGTCCCTGAGGGGAGGGTGGGGGAAGCTTCCGGGATCTTGGGGGTTAAAAGGGAAGGTCTGGCCAGGGGTCCCTGGTCAGAAGACTGTTTGCAGCCCACACTGCATAGCAAGAGACACTTCTGAGTCTCCTCCCTCCTTCCCACTGGCGACTCCCAGGTGAAGGGGGATGCACCCCACCCTGGTTGGGGTGGATGGCGAGAGGATGGGTGGGGACCCTCGGGCAATGGGCAGCAACTCTTTTGTAGCCCTGATTTCCCTGTAACATGGGGAAGTCCCTCAGCTCTGAGGTTAGGAAGAAGCTCCCACAGTTTCTGAGCAGGACCCCCACCCAGCCACCGAGGACCATGGACCTGGAGCTCAGCGTGGCTGGTGTCCAAGAAAGGCTGGGTGCACAAATTGCTCCCCTCTGGAGGAGCAGAGAATGAAGTCCTGAGGGCCCCTACAGAGTGCCCCACTGAGGTGGCCCAGGCGCACCCAGGCAGTGGTCTTGACAGAACATCTGTTTTAGCCCTCCACTCCGGCCTCTGCAAGCCCGGTGTCAACCATGAGGGCGCCGCTCCTCTACTTCACTGCCTCTGGCGCCTTGGCCCTAGTGAAGCTGCTGCTACCGCTACTGATGGTGCAACTCTGGGGTGAGCCCTGGGCCGGGGGCGACTGGAAGGAAGGAGGGAGGAGGGAGTGTGGCCTCTGCAACCATGCTCCACCCTCGGGTGGGCTCTGTCCCCAGGTGCCGCGCCCCACTGGAACAGAACCCAGCCCCTTCACTCCATCAGCTTCTCAGCCTCTCCTGCTTTGCATGCCTTCTCCTCACCCCTTGAACACCCGTCGCGTCCCTGCCTATTCCTAACTGAAGTCCTACAGTACGCCTAGTCTGCTGTCCAGCACTGAAGCCCTCCCTCTGCCCCTTCCCATCCCTGGACTAGACCTTCCCTTCCCTCCTGCCCAGCGCTTCACAGCATTCTGACCCAGTCCCTTACTGCCCTACTATGTTCCCGTCTCCTCTCCTCTCCTCACCGCCCCTACTGTGTTCCTGCCTCCAATTCCTTATTGCTGGACTGTGCTCTGTCTCCGCCCCTCGCTGCTCCACTGCCTTGTCTCTTCCCTTTACCTCCCCATGGTATTCCGTCCTTACTACCCAACTGAGTTCTGTACCTGTCCCTCTCTGCCCATCCCACCCCCCTTCGCCTTACCTAACACAGCACTAGGCCTGCATCTGGTCTCCGCCCCGTAGGTTAGAGCCCTGCCTTTCCTACAACCTCCTACCCAGACCCTCCCCCTCCACCCTCAGTCCTGGGGTGTCTTAGTCCGGTTCCATTCTAACCCCTCTTGCCCTTCCACGCCTCTTTGCAACCGGTTCGCAGGGTTCCCTAATTCTCCCACGGTTCATGACACTGCTGCGCCACCTACAGTCCAATCCAGTGAGGTTCGGGACCCGCCCGGTACCCAGCTCTGGCCAGGCGAGCCCTAATCCTCGGTCCTCGCTTCTCCACCAGGCTCACAGGCTTTGCTGCTCCCGGGAAACGCCACGCGCGTGGACCTTGAGACATCTACCGTCCCATGCACGCGTGACTCGCAGCCCTGGCAGGTGTCCCTCTTCCATAACCTCCAGTTCCAATGCGCGGGTGTCCTCGTGGATCAGAGCTGGGTGCTCACGGCTGCACACTGCTGGAGAAAGAAGTAAGGGACGCCCCAGAGACAGCCATGGAGGGATCTCCACGGAGGGGTGGGGAGGATGGGACTCAGGCACTCGCCCTGCTCAGGTCAGGTTAGGGGCGGCGGCCATCCTACAAAAGAGGCAGGATTCGAGCTGCACCACCAGAGGATGCTGTGGGCCCATCGCACCTGTCTGCAGAAATCAAGGCCTGTTTAGTCAGCATTTAAAACAAAAAATAACAACAACAACAAAAATTGTCCTCTTGTGTGTCTGTCATGTAGAGAGAAAGGACCAGGTGTCATGGAGAAAGGAGAGGTGGGCATACCCAAAGCTTTGAGGCGTCAGTCTTCAACCTCCAAACTCCTACTCTCTTTCCTCAGACCCAGGGGTTCAGACCCTAGCCTTCTGCTTCAGTCCCAGGGTCCAGTCCCAGCCTCTCTTCCTGACCCTCTGACCCAAGGACCAGACTCTGTCACCATGAAAGTTTTACCTCTAATCTGAGTCTTCCCCCACAGGCCATTGAGGGCTCGAGTTGGGGATGACCACCTGCTGCTTTTCCAGAAAGAGCAGCTTCGGTCCACGAATTCCCCCGTTTTCCACCCCAAGTACCAGCCTTGCTCAGGCCCCATCCTGCCGCACCGCTCAGATGAGCATGACCTCATGATGCTGAAGCTGAGCAGTCCTATCGTGCCAACGCCCAGCGTGCATCCTATCCAACTGCCCTTCCAGTGCGCCCAGCCAGGGCAGGAGTGCCAGGTTGCAGGCTGGGGGACCACAGCTGCCCGCAGAGGCAAGAACTGGGCTGGAGGATTGTACTCTAGGGAGGAGGGCTGGACTTTTGGGTCTGAGGGAGGAGGCCAGGAATGGGACCATGATTCTGAGGGAAGAGGCTTAGGAAGGACCCCAGGGGTCTGTCTGAATGCCTGTGTCTAAGAGTGGAGGAGTGGGGTTAGGTCCCCTGGGTGTGTGGAAGGAAGACTTGGGGCTGGAAGAAAAGGCTGATTGTGTGACTGGTCTGTTCTTCTCAGTGAAGTACAACAGGAGTCTGAGCTGCTCCAGGGTAACTCTCCTTAGCCAGAAGCAGTGTGAGGTCTTCTACCCTGGTGTAATCACCAACAACATGATTTGTGCTGGGCTGGACAGAAACCAGGACTCTTGCCAGGTAAGGACAGGCCAGGAAGCATGTCTGTCTCCTGGATAGCAGGGCACAAAGACAGTGAGAGCTGGTTCTGCTGGCTCCGCCTTCTCACTTCCCTTCCCAGTCCTGGGTCTTCCCTACTCTTTTTCCCTTTCTCAACCCACTTCCTCCCTCAACCCATGTCTCACCCTACCAAGCCCTACCCTTGACCCTTCTCAGTCCCCTCACCTCTGATGAGCCACAGTTCCAACTGCAAACCCATCACATCTCCACTGTCCCCTTCCAGCTCTGTAAGCCCTTACCACCCCAACATGTAACATCATTCCAGCCCGTGCCAGCCCTTCTGTGTCTAACCCAACCGCAGCTCTCACTTCATGGTGTCTCCTTCTTCCTATCCTCAGAGTGACTCTGGTGGCCCACTGGTGTGTGACGACACTCTGCATGGCATCCTCTCCTGGGGCATTTACCCCTGTGGTGCTGCCCTGCACCCAGCTGTCTACACTGAGATCTGCAAATACAGTACCTGGATCCGGAGAGTCATTCGTTCCTCATGACGAGCCTCTCACACCCTTCTTCCCCACACCCTCTCCTCTTTCATACCCACTCACACCTTTGAGCATGCATCCTCTCTCCTCTGCTTGCCCAAAGCTGTCCTCTGCTCACAAGGAAGTGGTGGCCAAGAAAGTTCTAGCACCTCAAGGAAGCTGGCAGTCCCCCAGTCTCTGAGTTATCAGAGTCATTCAACTTGGCTTCCTCTACTGTGTAACTGGGGCAAGCTGGGTACTCTCTCTGTGCCTTGGTTTCCTTGTCTGAAAAATGAGAACAACGACTTGTCTACGTCTTACACATGTTTAGTATAGAGTCCATGATGGAATGTGCCTGTGTGGATTTTTATGGTAATTGTCTCAGAGACATGGACACAGTCTGGTGAGCGCTGATTAAACAGTACCCTATCTGACCTCCAGTGTGTGTGCCTCTGTCTGGGATCAGGGCCAGTGAGTGCACAGAAGGGCGGCCTTCATCTATGGCAGCAGCAAAGAAGAGGCTCCACACTGCCACCCACAGCATCCTCAGAGTCCTCTCATCTCTTAGGGAACTCAGTTGACAAGCCAGTGTGCAGTAGAGTTGGAGGTTTGTTTTTTAAAATCATATGTATTTTGTGTGTGTGCATGCATGTACGCACACAGCATGTTACATGTATGGAGGTCAGAGGTACTTGGCTTTCTCTTTCCACTATGTGGGTCCCAGAGGTTGAACTCAGGTCATCTGGTTCAATGGTGAACACCTTTACCCACTGAGCCATCTCAACAGGTCTTGTTAATTAAAGAAAATTATGTATGTGCATGTATTTGGGCACACACATAGACATGAGGACACTTCAAGAGCCAGGTCTTCCATTCCACATGTGGATTCTGGGGATTTAAGTCAGGATGTCAGGCTTGGTGGTGTCTTCACCCGCTGAGCCAGCTTACTGGCCCAAGTTGGAATTTATTGCAAGAGATTTTTGTCATAGATTTTAAGCACAGGGGCTAAAAGAAAGATAGGCACTTGGGAAGAAAGTAGTACACACCTAAAACCATGGACATGTCTTTTTTTATTATATTTCTGTATCTATTTGTGTGAATGCATGCAGATGTGCAAGTGCTATTGTGTGTGTGTGTGTGTGTGTGTGTGTGTGTGTGTCACAGGAGAGTTTGTACATTTGTGAGAGTTGTTTCTCTCCTTCTCCTATGTGGATCCCAGGGATGGAACTCGGGTTGTCAGGCTTGTCTGCATGTGATTTTACCCACTGGCTTATCTCACCCCTCCCCACCAGGGGTGGGGACTTCTCAAAGAAGAATCTGGCTGGTTGGTTTTCATAATAGTCAAAATGGGATCTTTAGTCGGGTTTGAAGTTACCATTATATGATATCTGATTATATTCATATAATTGTGCCATTATATCTAAATGGGATCACAGGGTGGCTTCTGGGAGCACTTAGTAGGACTATAGCATAGAAGATGCAACTCCAGGTTGGGGTGGGGGGGCTCATCTGTGGGGGAAAGTCATTAGGAGAGGAGGGAGACCCCAGGTTAGACACACTGTCCTTTGGCCCAGATTACTGTGAGTTTAGAATTCTGCCTCCCTCCCTCCCTCTCCCTCCCTCCCTCCCTTTCTCCCTCCCTCCTTCCCTCCTCCCCTCCCTCTTTCCCTTTTTTCTTTCTTTCTTTGGTATTGTTTTTCAACACAGGATTTCTCTGTGTAGCCCTGGCTGTCCTGGCACTCGCTCTGTAGACCAGGCTGGCCTCGAACTCACAGAGATCCTCCTGCCTCTGCCTCCAAGTGCTGGGATTAAAGGCGTGCACCACCCCTGCCTGGCTGAGTTTAGAATTCTTGTGTGAAAATATTTCTACATAAAAGAAATATTGGGGGCTGGAGAGATGGTTCAGAGGTTAAGAGCACTGGCTGCTCTTCCAGAGGTCCCGAGATCAATTCCCAGCAACCACACAGCTCCCAGCACACAAGAGCTCACAAGCGTTAGATCAGGTGCCCTCTTCTGGTATGCAGGTGTACATGCAGAAAGAAATATTGGACCAGCCAGTTCTGCAATTCACACAGGTGGAAGGAGAGAGCAAACACTAGCAAATTGTCCTCTGATCATCACACAAATAGTGCGCTGTGGCACACACATTCAGGAACACACCCAAAATAAATAAATGTGAAAAAATATTAAGAAAGAAAAGAAGAGTCTGGAGAGAGGGCTGCTCTCCAGAGGACCTGGATTCAACTCCTAGCATCCATTTGGCAGTTCAGGACCAGCTGTAATTCCAGTTGCAGGGGTTCTGATGCTCTCTTCCAGTCTCCAGGCATGCATGTGGTTCACAGACATACATGCAAACAAAACGCCAATATACATAAAACTCAAAACTTTACAATATGGGCTGGGGAGATGACTCGGTGGTTAAGAGTGAGTGCTGCTCTTTCAGAAGACCCTAAGTTTGGTTCCCAGCACACAAGAGGTCAGGTGCCTCTGGCCTCGTTGGCCCCCTGCACTCACATCCATCTACAGGCATGCACAAATATACATGATTTTAAAATAATAAACATAACCAAAACAAACACTCAATATGATTAATTGCGATGGAACTGACTCTTAGCTAGTAAGAAACTTTAGCTAGACTCTGGAATAAGGTGCCTGGAACCACTGACTCTTAGCTAGTAAGAAACTTTAGCTAGACTCTGGAATAAGGTGCCCCTCTTCATCATTTTCTGTGGCAGAATTCTGCTGGCTTGGCATCAGAATGATAGCACCTGGCCCTAATCAATCCTTTGTTGAGCAGATAAATTTTGTTCCCTTGTCTGAGAGTTTCCCAAGAATACAAAGACCTGTGCAAAACTTGGTTCAGGACTCCTGGAAAACTGTGGTAACTGATGGAGTCTTTGCACTTGGCATTGTCTTTTTGGAAGACTCATTCAAGTTGTTCTGAGCATATGGTAATCAACTGGCTAAAGTGTAAATATTAAGAGAAAATTTAAAATGCCCTGGGCATAGGGAAAGAGATTCAGTCCATTGAGGCTGAAGACCCCTGCAGCCTAAAAAGCTGAAATTTAGTCTCTTTTGTTTGTTTGTTTGTTTCCTTTTCAAGACAGGGCTTCTCTGTGTAGCTTTCCCTTTGAAGCGAGTCCTGACACTTGCTCTGTAGAACAGGCTGGCCTCAAACTCACATAGATTCACTTGCTTCTACCTCCCAAATGCTGGGATTAAAGGCATGTGCCACCACCGCCTGGCTCTAAATTCATTCTAAAAAGTGTCTTGGAGTCTCCTTTTCTTTTCTTTTCTTCTTCTTCTTCTTCTTCTTCTTCTTCTTCTTCTTCTTCTTCTTATTCTTCTTCTTCTTGTTCCTCTTCTTCACCTTCTTACTCTCTCTCTCTCTCTCTCTGATTTTTTTCAGACAGGGTTTCTCTGTGGCTTTGGAGCCTGTCCTGGGACTCACTCTGGAGAACAGGCTGGTCTCGAATTCACAGAGATCCACCTGCCTCTGCCTCCCGAGTGCTGGGATTAAAGGCGTGCGCCACCACCCCACCCCACCCCACCCCCAGCATTGGAGTCTCCTTTTCGACGGACCTGCATGAACCCACACCTGCGCCACGACATCCACGCCAATTTTCCCTTTGTACCCTGCCTCACTCCCACCCCATCCACAGGTCTGATGGGAAATAGGATTTTCCATTCCCCCTAAGGTTTTGGAAGTGTCTTTTAACCACTTCCTCTCCCCCTCCCACTAGGTCTCATTTCTGGGTCCACCCAACACCAGTTCTTCCTGTCCTGGCAGGAACCAGCCTAACTTTGGGTCACCTGACAAACTGTCTGCCTTCCTAGGGGCCCCATGCACTATCTCACACCGGCTCCCAGCCACAACAGAGAGAGCCTCCACTGCTCAACTGTGCCTTCTGTTAAGGGGCTCTGAGGGCTTTGTCAAATAAATTATTTTCCTCACCCTTTTGTGGTCTGTGAGTAAATATTCTTATTCTGAAAGGCCCAGAGGTCACATGACACGGAAATGTGTTTGAGCATCCTGACTTAGCCTAGACCTAATAAAAGGGAACAGGCATCTTGGCAGAGGGGAATTTAGTTTGGGTCTTGAAGTATGAATAAGAGTTCATCAGAAAAAGGATAAAGAGACAGGTGTTCACCTAATCAGCACATTTCCCCCTTCCAGACACCATTTAATTGAGACTCTGCTGTCTTCCAGGCCCAGTATGGGAAGGGTGGAAAATAATGAACACAGAAAGGTGCCTGTTCCCAGCAAAGCCCACAGAGGGTTAAAGTCCAGGGTCAGAGCATGGAGTCTGACCAACAGCCAGCTTCCTTCTGTTGGCTCTTCCCCATCCCATACCACTAGCACACTCAGGAAGTGTCAGTCCTCTGTGTCATCTGAGGGTCTTGCAGACCAGCCTCATGTTTGGAAGTAACTCACCTGTGTCCTCTGCCGGGCCCCAAGATGACTCCAACCAAGCCCTACCCCCAGGAAGCTGCTCATCAGGTCTAGAAGACAGGCAAGTCTCACATTCCTGTCATTCAGGTCTCTGTGAGGTCACTTCCTCCAGGAGGTCTTCCTGGATTGCCATGGACAAAGTGTCCTGTGTTGGTTACTGATCTCAATGGCTCAGTCCATTTCCTCTGTGGCACCTGCGACAGCTCCTGTTGTCTTGTTTGTGTCTTTATTTGATAACACCCTCCCTATCACACATTCTGCTTCAATCCCCCTGCCCTGAAGCAGGGGTGTCGGCTATACTAGACTCGTGCATATTAAATACAATAATAGAAACAAACCTCTTATTTAAGTCCAAGCTATTGAAGGGCTGGAGGGGCTTCAGTGGTTAGAACACTAGCTGTTCTTCAGAGGATCCAGACACGCTCCCAGCACCTTCATGGTGGCTCACAACCATTTATAACTCCAGTTCCAGGGGGTCCAATGCCTTCGGGTGACCTCTGCAGGTACCAGGTATGCACACTATGCACATAATATATCCAGGAAAAATATTCATGCCATAAAACAAAATTCTAAAAAT